GTCTGGTCAGAGCCGTCCGCGTTGTATTGCAGCAGTCTGTTCAGAGCCGTCCGTGTTGTGTTGCAGCAGTCTGTTCAGAGCCGTCCGTGTTGTGTTGCAGCAGTTCGTGCAGAGCGCGGCGCCGGGGCGGCCGCAGTGCGCGCTCTCGGACGGCTGCCCGCGCCACACCTACTTCCCGGCCGTACTGCTGAACAGCCAGCTGTTCGCCTTCCGGCTGCACGACGTGGCCAGCGTGCGGCGCTTCCCAGCCGGCTCTGAGCAGGAGTGGAGCTCGTGCCGCGCGCTCGGCCTGCGCAGCGCCGCCGCCTACGTGCTCGTGTTCGACCTCACGTGCCCAGAGTCGTTCCGCTACATCCGCACCATCCGCGACCAGATGCTCGAGTCGCGCGACATGCAGCGCGTGCCCGTCATCGTGGTGGGCAACAAGCGCGACAAGGTGGCGGCGCACGGCGCGCGCGGCTGCCGCGACGCCTCCGCCACCGTGCGCAAACACTGGAAGTGGCCGTACGTCGAGTGCTCGGCCAAGTTCAACTACCGCGTGCTGCAGGTGTTCCGCGAGCTGACGATGGCGCTGGACGCGCTGCGGCAGGAGGAGGCGCCGCCGACGGAGGCCGAGGCGGCGGCGCGGTCGGAGCAAGCGGCGCGGTGCCGCCACTGCACCATCCAGTAGGGCGGCGGCCGGCCTGCTCGCTCGTGCCCAGCGGGGCCGCACAATCCCTTTTTTATCTGTGTTGGCGCGGGCGCGTTAGCGCTCGCCGATGTGACGAAACCATGTACAAGACGAGGAAGTGCAAATGCTCTCGTGAGTGGAACCCACTTCTGGGAGGAGGATGCTGGATGGATGACGATCGCGCAATAAGCTCCGGTCTGGCGGAGAGTGTGCCGGCCTGATCAGGTGCGCACGGCTGAGGGCAGCGTGCCGGCCGGGGTGCCCGCCCCCCGACCCTGTCTTTCACTGGCCTCACCCGCCGCGCGGCCGTGGCGTGTCCGTGCCGCCGCGCTGGACCGAGTCCCAATCAGTGTACCCGCCACTCTGCCCTCGTAATACACGCCACCGTGCGCGACCGCGTTTCGCCGCGTCCGGCAGCGGCCGCCGGTCGGCCGGCACCGTCCGACGCCGATGGCTGCCGGCGGCTGCCGGACTGCACCGGGAGCCGGGCAGAGGAGGCTCTGCGGCGTTAGCGGCGCGGCCGGGGCGTTAACAGCGCACCCGTACGCCGCCGCTGCAAATGAGGCGGGACGGCGGATCAGTGCACGCTCGTGGCGCGCACAGGAGCGGCGGCGGAGGCAGCAGCCAGGCCGTCACACAGCTGGTCACGAGGTCAATAACAGGACGGCAGGCACTCAACGGCTGACCAGGCTCCTGGACGTGCGACAAACAGCCTGAGCCCATCGGACCTCCCTTTTGGACGTCGAGAAAATAACAGATGATCCGAGGAAGATGGCTGAGATTTTCCTCGCTTTTTTGACCAGTCAACTGAATTCAGATAGAGTCCGCACGACGGGGCCTGGTTGCTTTTCGGTACCTTTTGTGGTTCGTGATAGGCAGTGGGACTTAACGACACATTTAGCTGATGAGGCTACGTGGCGTCACCCGCCTCACACCCTGGCAAGAAGGGAGGGAGGAGGGGAGGGGGGGGGGGGGCACCGCGGGGAATCGAGCACCGCATCTCTCGCTTCCCAGACACGCAGCTTAACCAGTCCACTTCTGGTGATCCACTTTTGTAAATTTATCAGGCATTAAGTGATATATAAAACGCAACACCAAGTGATTTCAAACGGTGTGATCGCAAGGTAGATAGCATTGACTCGGATACTTATCTTTGCGGTCAATATACATGTCAAATACATGTAAAAAGCTGGGAGTGGACAATCCGTTTTTTTTTTAGTTGTTTCTCAGTTGTTTCCCCAAAACCTGTGAGCTTGTTACTCTGCCCCCTCCCCCTTCCAACTGCGGAGCCAATAATTCGGCAACCTTTGTGTGGACAGAATGGAGAAATTACGGCATACAGTTGCAACACCATGAGTATAGCACCAAATGACTTTTCCTAGCCAACAGCCAGACACAGCCCCCGGCTGTGACCGGTTATGACAACACAGCCGCGGCGCATCAGTCGCTCACGCGATCTTATGCAGTAAAGCTGTGAGACGGGCTGAAGACAGTTCTGAGAAAGCCGGGTGAATGACGGATGGTTAAAAGGCGCGAAGGATTAAAAATAGCGTATGCCTAAAGACGGGCACCGGCGCGTTCTCTCTCGACACATCAACTCGCGGTGCATAAATACCGCACGGTGTCGGACAAGAATAAAGACAGAGCCTCACCATCCCGGGAAGAGTTAATTGATAAGCACAGCTATCCAACCGAGCGATCCAGGTCTACCCACCGTGCCCCGGACGTCCCGGGAGAGCCGCTGAGCCTCCGCGGACTGGGGGCGTGACCGTACGAACAGAGGCCTCCGTCTGCCGTTAGAAAACTACGCTCGTGACGTAACACTTTGGACACTGCATGGCCTTACTATCACTAGGTTGTAGTTGACGGCGACATTCCCCACGTCCATGTTGTTTCGATCAGATTGTGTATGCACCTCGATGTGCGACGTATCTCACGCGGCAACAACCAAATGCCCAGCACCTTGCGTTTACGCGGATGTCTGCCGAATCGAAAATGGCTGACTTTTGCGTCAACTTATGCAACTGTCACAAACTGACATGGTCCATCTGGGGTTCGGTGCTCACTGCCGTCACATGATAAGGTAAGCAAGCTGCCGCAAATCGTAAGCATGACCATAACGTGAGCCGGGGTGACATGCCTTTGCAACCATCAATTGGTGGCTGACCACGACAAACATTATCCTGGACGGCAAATGAAAAAATGGACTCGTGTCGATTAACATGAATATGCAGCGAATGTTTTGTGACCCTTTCCTGTTTCCTCTGGTGGGTATTGTTTTAGCATCCTACTAGTGCAACGATGCAGAACCCTGGCGTGGTACACAGACGACAAAAGGTTATTTGAGCAATTGTTCCATCTGCACCAGCCAGTCCAAACCCTACGTCGTCTACGAAGAACTAAGCTATGAGCTTTGGATGGCCGATGCTGCAGTGCAGCACGACACGACACGCGCGCCTTTGATACCCACACACGCCACCGGTAACGCCTTGATACCAGCTTTGATGTGGTCCCCAAACTTCTGTCACACATATCCGATACATCGCCATCAACGTCTCGAACAAATCCGTCCGATGCGCCCGCCGGACACGCCGCTACTTGGAGGCGGATCCCGTCGAAGAAGTTCACAAATCGGGCGACACACGAGAAGCTCGAGTTCAGTCAGCGCGGCGCGGCTCGTACTGTCCGCTGGTGGCGCGCGCTGCGGGAATATTCTCAGGACGCTACAAGGACACGAAGCCACGGCACATCCACCCTCCCGGCCAGCCTGCTGCGCTCCGCACCGCTGTCTGCGGGCGCTTCGCAACATCAGCCACGCGCTGGCGCCATGTTTTACAGGGAAGCGGGTGGGCTTCAAGTGCTACCCTTGCCATTTCATGGCGATTTTATCACTACTGAAGAGTGATGTCCGACCACGGGTGGACAGTTGCTCCATCAGCCTCCAGTAACTCATGATTCCGAATCGACAACACCCCAACTCTCACAAGATCGTGGCATATATAATAATGTCAGCTTACTGTCAAACGTGTGGGCCATGATCGCATGTAAGGTTTCTGAGTTTCGTAAGTGAATATAACCCAGTGGCACACCAGTACTTTATGCATCAGATCACGCTTTATTGTCGGCATGTTGAGACGATGCAGACACCTCTCTACCATCTAGTCACCGTCACAGCGAATGCATGTAAAAAGAAACCAATTCGATGAAATGAGCCAATGATATCCCTACGTCTTCAAATGCGGATCCAAAACGGCGTGACATCAGCGAAACACGAAAATGATTAGCACCAATAACACAACGCTCATTACCAGCGACGCCAATGCATTCTAGTGGGGATACGTTGACATTTGTGAGCGGACGTACGCACGTTAACTGATACGCGTAGGTACGCTGCAATGGCCTTACAGTAGCCAACATGGCTCGGCGATAATGTAACCTGAGGAAAAGGTCCATCGCTATTGCATGCAGACAATCCCTGAATACATAATTGCGGTCAATGACCAATAGCATGCTACAGTGAATGTAAAACAACATTAAGCAGTTCTATTGACGCGGTAAAAACAAACTGAACTAAATCTGACCCTTTTCTCCGACATCACTCAACCATAAATGGCATAGAGAAAATGGCACGCAAATGTGGACTTACACGGGTTATATGGGTTCATGGCTCCCGCCCGGCATGGGCCGATCCAAGCTTATATCATCAGGCGATCCCACCTACAAGGCTCAAACGTCAACCAAACTGCTCCCATAACCTTTCCAACCGTCCCCAGCTTCACCCCGCTCTGACACCAAGCGGGACAACAGTCAGCTGAGCGACGTCATCCGGCCGTCAGACGCCAGCCAGCTGATCGATATCCTTTGAGAAAAATACTCCGACCGATTGGCCAGCGAAAAATCACAAAAGATCGCGCTGGCAATGCAGCCGATGTGAACGATGCTCAATGTCAATCCATTCCACCTGGAGAACACTGATCTCAATTCAATAAAACACTGCTCCCGCTGACCCATCCACAACTGGCAAACAGCTCTATCATTCAATAGAACGTTACAAACATGCCGAGTTCGGCAGCACGGACTATCGAAGGACAAAGGAAGTTGTGGTCGCCAGATTCATCTAAAGGTAACTGACCTCCACTGAATTAATCCCCTTTCCCACCAAACCCCCAAAACCCATCCGCAAACTACCCTCCTGTTGCGCGCAGCGACGAGCCGCTCGTCGCACGGGCCGCTCCGCCCAGCCGGCAGAGGAGGCCTGCACGCAGCGTCGTCGGCATGCCGCGCGCCGCCACGGCCGCACCGCGCGCCGTCGGTCGGCGGCGCCGGCTACTGCTCCAAGCCCAGCTCCTCGGCCATCATCCGGCGCATGACGAACTTCTGGACCTTGCCCGTCACCGTCTTGGGGAAGTCGTCGCGGAACACGATGTAACGCGGCACCTTGTAATGGGCGATCTGAAAACGGCGCGCCGATCTGTGACAGCCGGACCGACAGTCACGGAGCCGGGCATGACAGCCGGCAGCCACGCGCCGCGGCATCGTACAGAGCCACGCATGAGCAGGCACCGGCAGGACACAGTCCGCTGCGGTGCCGCCCTCTCAACGACTCACTCCGTCAGCACTTCGGTTAAGTTCTCGTGCTTCAAGTTCTGGATCCCCCAGAACAGTTGTTTCAAGATTCGTAAGCCGCGACATTGTAACGCTACCAGACGGCATCTGATCACAATATCCATCCCACAGTGATGAATGACACTACATGTAAGCATTCTCAGGCCTTCAGAATTATGAGGTTAAACTGGATATTAATCGATCCAGGATGGCATACCTTCTACTGTGTGTATTTTGCTGTATATATGCATCTATCTGTACATTCTTCTGTATCTAACTGTATAGCTTCTACAGTAGCAGTGCATACACCCTTGAAGCAATACATACAGCTACGTATTCTGTAAGGCACATTCTGGCAGAGCGACACAGAAGAACAGGCGACAGACAAACGAGCGGGCACGGCGCCCAGATCGGCCCACGGGGGCCTCTCCAGAGGCGCCGGGCGGCCGGACCAGGCCGCCCCATTTCAGCTGTCCGACAACGCTGCCAATTCTCGGCAATTCACGCTCGCAGATGTGACGGGCATTTGTGAGCCAGACTCCGGGAATCCGTGGGTGGCTGGACGACTATTTCCGACAGTCAAGGCCCACGTTCCCGAGCACAAAGGCTGGATTTGTGCAATGTCAACAAACGGATCCCGGAATTGCTTTTAGCGTAATAGTGAGCCCGGTTAAACAGGCCAGCGCTGCGGTGTACTACTGTGTTCCACTCAATCAACAAAGACCGATACATAAATAGCCCAGCGGCTTGCGTCACAATAGTTCCAGGCCTACACCATGGTGACACGCTTTAAAGCTTCAGCCAGGTACGTACAGCGTTCGCTAGTGAAATAAATCTGCACAGAGGTGTTCAAGAATGCATCAGTTCCAAACTGCTCGTTGGTTGTTATTACTTCTGACTCATATCGATACTGCTGACTAAAATATATTTGTCTGGTGTCTTGGTCTAAAAAGACATCCACGTTCGTCGGACCCTTCAGCAGCTTTTGTGCTTCGACGTGACGAACAGTTCCTCACTGAATCTCTTCCAACCATGCGTTACGGGATGTCCAGCTGATTGTCGAGCCAGTGCAATCCAGCCTAGTTGGCCCTTATCACGAACAACCTACCATAATATGCCGTGCTAGCAGCGAGCCCATGCATATTTCCCCACCATTGACGCACGCCGAAGCGCGCATCTGCTCTCAGGTCTCGGTGATTCCAAGTTTTATGCTTCGTCTTCCACGGCCCCAGGCGGAAAAGCGAGTGGAGGCTGACATTTACAAACTACCTAATTTCTCGGGGCGTCATAAACACACCGTACTTTGTTGATCGTGACGAAAATGCCAATCTCTCAATACCCTGAAGTTCACAGGCGGCACGCCTTCATGCGGCGATTTTAATCCGCATCTGTTCCTCACACAAATGCGCTGTTGTAAGCGAACCATCGCCATAATCACTTACCCTTGATATCGAAGACTACACAGTCATGCTTAGGAAACCTACTGCTCCGCACAAGCTTAGCACGGACATTGCTCACAGCTTAACAAACTGCCACATAATGACGTGACGATAACTGCGATAGCACCAGGCCTTGGCCACCTCTCCCGTAACTGCGGGCCGGCCGCGACGGGCGCTGCATGGCCGCCGCGCCGCCGCCCGCTCTCACCCGGCCCTTGGCGAAGCTCCTGATGTCGTGTTCGCTGACGGCGCCGGGCTGACGGCTGCGGACCCAGACGCACAGCTCCTCGCCCATCCGCTCGTCCGGCACGCCAAACGCCTGCCAACGGGCCAGCCGCGTGTAGTCTGCCGCTCCGGGACACCGCGACACGGCTAGGGGACAATGGCATGCACCGCGGCGGAGCCGGAGACGCAGGCTGCGTCGCTGCGGCGCCGGCCACCCAACGACACTGCTAGAGGGGACAATGGCACACGCCGCGGCGGAGCCGGGGACGCAGGCTGCGCCGCTGCGGCGCCGGCCACCCAACGACACTGCTAGAGGGGACAATGGCACGCGCCGCGGCGGAGCCGGGGACGCAGGCTGCGGCGCTGCGGCGCCGGCCACCCAGCGACACGGCTAGAGGACAATGGCACGCGCCGCGGCGGAGCCAGGGAAGGAGGCTGCGCCGCTGCGACACCGGTCACCCAGCACGCTCAGAGCCGGCTCGGACGCGCTGGGACGGGCGACGGTTAACTGTTAAGTCATGCGAAGATAATGACGAAGTGGGCAAGAAATCAAGCCGCGTAATTGTTATCTGTCACCTCGTCCTAGGGGGACTTAACGCCAACAGCAGCCATATTGAACTGCTCCCGCAACTGGCCTGTGGAATGGGGCATCACTGAAGCGTGTGTGTCATTGGGGCTTTACGACGCACTCAGCTGCTGAGGCTATATGGCGTCGCCTGCCTCTCACCCTGGCAGGAAGGGCGGGCACCGCGGGGAATCGAACCCCGTACCTCTGGTTTCCCAGGCGCGCAGTGGTTAACGCAGACGCGTAACCACTACACTACCGGCACCCTACATCACTGAAGCCAAAAATTTGTCATTCAAAAGGTAAAATCGCTGCCGTCTGTCGGCTGCGTGCGTTTCTCTCCATCATTCGCCGACTCCACCCTAACAAACTGCTCACTTGACGTTCGCACCGCGTTCAACACTCCCACATTAATAGGGGGAGGGGGGCCACGCTCGGTGTCGCTCCGCGCGTAGCATCGAGCTGATCGCACGGACGTGGCACCAGGACCATCGCCGGCACCGTTAGCACATCGTTCGGCGCATCTGCAACAGCCGACGCGGAGTTTACGGGTCGAGGCGGCCACCAATTACCCGTCCAGTGGCGCAGTCGGCTCGTGGCCTCGTTACTAGCAAAAACGGCGCGTTCGGCTTCGGTCTGGGCGTGACGCCGGCAGGATACCTATGACATCGTCCCGACCCCACAGCAGCAACAAGGCGGGCGTACCGTGCTGACGGCAAACCCATGTCAGAAGAGAGCAAGCGGCGACGGCGGGAGCGGCCGGACAGCGGATCGATGGCGGCGGCGTTTGAACAGTCGATCTGTGTTCACAGTGGCCCTGTGTCGATGGTGGGTCCGGCGTGACGGAGGAACACCCTCAATAGTCGACCGGTATTGACGGGGACCGTCGTAGCGACACTGAACTTGGCGCATGCGAATCCCCCAACGACCAGGGAGAACTCGTTACTCGGAACTCGTCTGAGACAGTTTTCTCAGTAAATCTTCGGAGAACACCCGAAGTTGTCGATTTCAGGCCGAGTGCTCGTCGCACTCATCAGCTACCACGACAAAACGATAGCGATCCACGCAGGGGCGTGGTGTACCGCCCCAGCGGCGTGTCATCTTTGTCGTTCATTGGTGTTTTCCGGCGCGTCGACTGCAATGGTCATTTTGCGCCTATCAGCAGGGGGGGGGGGGGGGTCATCAGTACCATCAATGTTCATCAGGCCATTGGAAACACGCGAGCGATGCTTAGTAACACGCGATACTCGGCAGACTCAGGTGAGAATACAGCAAGGAAATTAGCTTGAAATGCTTATGCTGACAATTATCGGCCTCCGATGTGCCAGGAGATTCTTTTTAAACGACTTTTTCAGACAAACATTCCTGTTTTGTATAAACTTGAATCTTTAAGCCGTGCTCGTGGTCGCAAACGAGCAGGGTGAAATCAAAACACTGTCTGATACTAGGACACGTGACTACAGATAATTTTCCCAATTCGTACTGACACTGCCGTTCAAAAGATATCCCCAAAAAATCACTTTCGAATTTCCGCATCCCAACATCCGATGCAGGATTATGTTTTAAGGATCGCACGAAACACATGCCGCTTGTCCGGAAGACCGTGATAACCCATCACGAGAAAGGTTAGAAAACCACTCACCCCATGACGCGACATGAGAGGCTAAATTGCCGGCATGTTCACGATATTGCATGGTCGTGGTGCCTGCTGGGCGTGGTAGGTAACTCTCTAACCTCCAGTTCTGCCGTCTCGGTTTCGCGCAGCTCGTAGCATACTACCGTGCATCGGGCGTTAGGACGCGACAACCCGAATGATTAGGTGAATGTTTTGTTAAAGGGAGTGCCCCACATTTGTATGGGGGTTTTGAACTCAAATAACCATCTCGAAGATCATTCGGTGCAGTTCACATCCCTGCCCAAGACCTAAACCCCTCTAGTTTCTGAGCTACACGCCCACGAAGATGTGCAGACCATTTCGGGGAGACTATTTCAAGGTCTCCTAGACATCCATGACGTCATCACAATGCCATTCAAATCCTGCCATTACATTAGCCATGCGGCGATCAAGGTCAAAAAAATTGTCGAGTGCTTCAGATCTGACGTTCGTGAGCATGATTTCCAGACATGACGACCCTCAATTAGCTCTCAATCCGTGTTGTGCAGGGTACGATGACGTTATCACGAAATGGCGTATCAAGAAGCATATCTATCAAAGAAACAAACTGTGTTGTTTGGGGCAGTCTTTTCCGCTTAAAAGTATGCCAATAGTTAAAAGTCTACTAATTACACCATATCTGATACCCGCTTCAGTCCTCAAATGTGAAGCATTCCCTTTTATGGCAGTGTCTGCATAGATTCGAAACATTTTCCGTATTCACGTCTCTGAGTATTTAGAAGCCATCTTACTTAATCTTGTTCACTTGTGAATATATCTGGTTAAGTCCCACCCTGTCTTTCTCGGGTGATGTCCCACACTTGCCGCCAATACGGAGAGCGTGAGCCGGTCAGCCGAGAGCAGCCCAACCAAACGGCCCGCGGCTGGCGGCCGTCTGTCATGTGTGGAGGGCAGTACAAAGTCAACACTGGTCAAAGGACGGATATTTTCGTCCTTTATGCTGAGCGGTACGCATCAACTCGTGACTAAGCAGGTCTTTTTCAAGTCTTAACGAGAATAAATATTGACAAAGTATTGTGAAACGATCTAGACTGCCTTTTCTAGTCAGCGAATGACTTGGGTTGTCAGTATATTCCGTTATAATTTTCCAATGCACGGCAACCCAACCAAGCCACAACCCTAAAACGGACAAGCCCATAACTAACGATCGATGGACGACGAAAGGAGCCCATCCAGGTCACCATAGGCAATCTGAAACCAATATCTTCCTCATAAAATAAACTGAACTTGACGTCAGGCCAAGTCATTATCGGAAAAATTGCTATCACTTCTGACTTGTACGATCCATCATCTAGGGAGATAACTGCATACTCGATGTCGGAGCAGCCCAGTAGAAAGGCCAGACAACAAGAATGAACAAAAGAACACAATGAAATACAACGGTTGAACACAAGACAACCATAAAACCAAATTGCGATGTTTTCTACAGCCGGAAGAAAAGCATCGTTTTGAACTCTAGGAAAGCTTCTCAATTCCGACGCATCCCAAACACCTTGCCGCTTTAGCGCTTTATCTTCGGCCCCGTCACGATGGTCTGAACCGCAGTCATATATGAAACACACCAGTCAGGCGACACTCGCATACCGCGAGGTTTGTGGCTGGCCGACAACTTAACGGACATTTTGCAGCGCGAAGAAACAACTCCTCATCGAAACAAAGATATCATGTGAGCCAGGAGACGATAGCGCAACATTCCGCGTATTCAACTAAAGATGGAATTTTGGTGGACAAATTTTAAAAGGAACTGAATCCAGCCTATTCAAAGCGGTTGGGCCTTAACGATAGGCTGTGATGGAGCTCTGAACGTGAGCACTGGCACCCCACTTTGTATATATATATATATATATATATATATATATATATATATATATATATATATAAATTACGTTTGCTGCATGCTTTTTTGTGGTTCATTTCGTACCTTTTCTTTTGTCAGGTAGTTGCGTCTCATGGCGCGAATAATCCTGCAAGACTCTCGACATGGCGTGGGCCCTATCAGAAACACGGACCCAGTGGCGGCAGCCTCGGTATGGCAGTGTTTGCCCACAGCGTCAGAGCCCAAGATAAACCGCACGAGTGGCAATATACCAGTTGTTGGTATTTGTTGTGATTGCAAACCGCGTTTTTATTACAGCTCCCTGCTTGTCCTACACGAAATAAACACGACGATCGGATGACCAGTACAATTCTCCCCAGCACGCGTTTTTGTGCACTTAGCCAGCATACTGCATGCAAGCAAGAATGGCAGGGCTCCTAGCATTTGACATCATGAGGTGGGAGTTCTTATGCTGAAAATAGTCGAGTTTCAGAGCAGCTGGAGGTGCTGCTTAAACGACGGCATCATGTAAGCATTGTTCATGTAAAAAACTAGGTATTTCGACACCGTACTCATAGTCACAAATGACTATTTTCCCAAAGCATGGGAGGTCAGAGACCCCCCCCCCCCCCTCATCGGAGACCCCAATACACACTGCTTGCTTTGGTCTTCTTGTGATAATGAAGGTGGTTATTTTCAGCATAAGTGACCCCAACTCATAAGCCCGAGTATGTACCATACCACAAACACGAACGATTTCGTTCATTTTCCCGCACGGGCAGCAGCCCCAGGCCACGGCATTGTGGCACACCGCGCATGGCAGGGTTAGGCTCACCACATGGTATTGGGACGTGACATTTATTGGCCCGAGCATCATTACACCCAGCAATCGGATACTGTACGCTCGGGTCGATCCCTAGGCGAACGGCAATCAGGTTACAGACAGACGTGTCCTCTGTTCTCTCGTGGCCTATCCCCGCGATATTGCCACAGGCGAGGCTCCCCTCGCGCGACGGGTGCTCTGTCCTCTCGTGATCTACCCCCGCGATATTGCCGCAGGCGAGGCTCCCCTCGCGCGACGGGTGCTCCGTCCTCTCGTGATCTACCCCCGCGATATTGCCGCAGGCGAGGCTCCCCTCGCGCGACGAGTGCTCTGTCCTCTCGTGATCTACCCCCGCGATATTGCCGCAGGCGAGGCTCCCCTCGCGCGACGGGTGCTCCGTCCTCTCGTGATCTACCCCCGCGATATTGCCACAGGCGAGGCTCCACTCCTCGCGCGACGAGTGCTCTGTCCTCTCGTGATCTACCCCCGCGATATTGCCGCAGGCGAGGCTCCCCTCGCGCGACGAGTGCTCTGTTCTCTCGTGACCTACCCCCGCGATATTGCCGCAGGCGAGGCTCCCCTCGCGCGACGAGTGCTCTGTCCTCTCGTGATCTACCCCCGCGATATTGCCGCAGGCGAGGCTCCACTCCTCGCGCGACGAGTGCTCTGTCCTCTCGTGATCTACCCCCGCGATATTGCCGCAGGCGAGGCTCCCCTCGCGCGACGAGTGCTCTGTCCTCTCGTGGCCTACCCCCGCGATATTGCCGCAGGCGAGGCTCCCCTCGCGCGACGAGTGCTCTGTCCTCTCGTGATCTACCCCCGCGATATTGCCGCAGGCGAGGCTCCACTCCTCGCGCGACGAGTGCTCTGTCCTCTCGTGATCTACCCCGCGATATTGCCGCAGGCGAGGCTCCACTCGCGCGACGAGTGCTCTGTTCTCTCGTGGCCTACCCCCGCGATATTGCCGCAGGCGAGGCTCCCCTCGCGCGACGAGTGCTCTGTCCTCTCGTGATCTACCTCCGTGATATTGCCGCAGGTGAGGCTCCCCTCGCGCGACGAGTGCTCTGTTCTCTCGTGACCTACCCCCGCGATATTGCCGCAGGCGAGGCTCCCCTCGCGCGACGAGTGCTCTGTCCTCTCGTGATCTACCCCCGCGATATTGCCGCAGGCGAGGCTCCACTCCTCGCGCGACGAGTGCTCTGTCCTCTCGTGATCTACCCCCGTGATATTGCCGCAGGCGAGGCTCCCCTCGCGCGACGAGTGCTCTGTCCTCTCGTGATCTACCCCCGCGATATTGCCGCAGGCGAGGCTCCCCTCGCGCGACGAGTGCCCTGTCCTCTCGTGACCTACCCCCGCGATACTGCTACATGCGTGTCTCCACCCGTTACGCGACGAGTGCTCTGTCCTCTCGTGACCTACCCCCGCGCAGGCGAGTAGGCCGCAGGCGCAGTTGCCGCAGGCGAGTCTCCAGCCCTCTCACGACGAGTGCTCTGTTCTCTCGTGATCTACCCCCGTGATATTGCCACAGCGAGTCTCCAGCCCTCACACGACGAGTGCTCTGTTCTCTCGTGATCTACCCCCGTGATATTGCCACAGCGAGTCTCCAGCCCTCACACGACGAGTGCTCTGTTCTCTCGTGACCTCGCCCCGCGATATTGCCACAGCGAGTCTCCACCTCGCGCGCAACAGCCTGAGGGTTCCTGATCGACCCTAGAGCGGTGGCCTGAGAGCTCCAGACCGGACAGACTCCGGCCGTGAGATGACGGCGGAAGGAGGCGCGAGTGCGGGGCGAGGCAGGACGCCGGGGGGGGGGGGGGGGACGCGGTCACTCGGAGGGGTGCCAGCGCTGAGGTCAGCAGTGTGTCCCCTCTCGCAGCCGGCCGGCGGCGCGCGTCATCGATCCTCCCAAGAGGGCGGCCGTGTCGCCGGCACCGGCGGTCCGAGCCGCCCTCCAGCACGGCGGCGCGCGCGCCACAATGGTCGGTCGAGTGTGGCCGGCGACACACTGGAGCCGCCGCCCGACCGCCTCCCCGGCACTGTCAACAGCTGGACCAGCACTCTTGTTCTGGTCGCGTGACCAACGCGCTGATAATCTATTGCGGGGACGTGAGTTGGGTACAATACGACGCGATTAGTTTCGAGTGAGAGACATAAATAAATGCAAACAAACAAGTATTTCAAAGAGAGGCCACAGAACGACCCAATTTCGAACGTTTATTTAAGCAAGATAGCTTTAGAGGATACGCAAAAGACAATAGGCTTGTACAAAGAAACCACAAACAAACGTCAACTATCCGGCACCCGGTCAGGATCTTTGTGTTGAGCTGAAACAACCGAACAAATTTTGCATAGATGTAGACAACTGAATAGCGGACTGCTTGGCATCAAAAATTTAGATGTACCTCTCAAGGTCGCTGACCTATAGCAAGTCAAGGTCAGGCCATGGTTTCAGCGAAGTCGATTTCTAGGGAATCGTCCAATCTGATGCAACAACGGAGGGTTAGGCGAGGCTTTATATCTCTGAGATGCTTTCTTAGGCAACGCAACAGTTGAGTGAACAAATTGCCCAAACCTGAAGTCAGGTATGAAGGTCCGACCAAGGTAAAAAACAACCCGTTTTATTATTCTAGGGCTTGCAGCATGAGATAGTTTCTGGTGCTCATTTCGAATTCATTGATGACAGGAACTGCATTAAACGCCTTCCATGGACTTCTTAGAGGTCAGAATAGGACACTGACCTAAAATGACCCACGTCAATATTTTGCTTTCGGGAACATACTGCCTTGCATAATCTGTGTCGCTTATTCAAACACAAAACTCAGAGCAACCTTATATGATCTTGGTCACCATGACCTTCAGAAGGTTTAACAAGGTCAATGACCTTAAATGAACAGGCGACCTTTTGCTTAGAAATGGTTATCTAGGTTCTGGGGGCACGTCCTGGAATTTGACCTCGTTTGACCTGCTTGACCCGAAGCTCATAACCTAGGACGCTGAAAATTTGAACTCAGTGAGTTCACGTACAGGTCAACACACCCTGTAAATTTGGTGTCTCTAGCTTGCTTAGTTCCCGAGATATCGGGGTGGTCAAATTGACCCCCACCCGACCGAAGGGTATCTAGCCGGCCACCCGAGCGCGTGTTAAAGATGAGTGGGCAAGAAAACACGGTTCAAGGTACGACAGCTGAGATATCTAGTAGCACAGAATCAATGCCAGCAATCAACCATCGTCACTTCGAGTCGTTTGAAACAGCTTTCGTTTAAAATTTATCATTTAAGCTGATACTCCAATTACGGGGAGCTCTGCTTATGCGGCAGGGATCCGTATATTTCTGAAACCTAGTTCCAATTTGGCATGCAGCGGATCGTTTTCTCTAACTTAACCGCCGTCCATGGAAAAATGGGCAGCGTTCGGGACCCCAGAGTTAAGAGTTAACCGAAATACGCACAGAAGAGCGCGTCATAACTTTGGATGAGACCGGGCATGGTAAAAGATGAATGCTAGTGGCACCTAGGCCAACCGTTCAACAGATATTTTTTAGCAACTGAAGGGCATAAAGTTGCATGGCGCATTCTCTCCGCACTGACGGCGGGTAATATTTTTTTTTCTAATTTTTTTCGCTAAATCATTTCAAGCGCTTATCAGTATTGGGTAGGCTGAGATATGGTTGGCCGCTTCTATTAATCTACGGCCACTCCCCTACACCCATTACCGTCAGTACAAAAACCTGACCCGCTCTTTTGAAAACTAGACCGATTCTGCCACACGGCTGCAGAGCATTCCCGCGCCTAAAGCACGTCAACATTTCTCGTCATCGCAGGAGTTGTGAGCTCTGCATTCACTTGCAAGGTTGATGACGTTTCTCGATCATCCCGATAACGTCCAAGTCCCTAACGAACCATCAGTGTTATCGTGCTGAATCAGGGGCAACCTTAGGGAGCCCAGATTGATGACGTTACTCGACACCGGAGCGGAGTCGCACAATGAGACACAGTGGGCGAAACGCGGCGCATCTCTGTGGCGCGCCTCGGATGGCGTGCCGCCAGCCACTCACGTAGGCCTCCATCACATCCGGGTGGGTCATGAGGAAGTCTTCAATCTCGGCCGGGTAGATGTTCTCGCCGCCCCGGATCACCATGTCCTTGGCCCGGCCCACGATCTTGACGTAGCCGTCCTCAGTGATGACCGCCACGTCACTGAGGGCACAGGCACCGGACGTGCAAACACGCAGTCGACTACACAGCACGCGCATACCGGCAGTCTGCCCCACGGTCCGTGTCCGAAACACGTACGCATCGTTAGCAACAGACCAGACAACGAATTCCGAAATATTCACATCCCTGCCAAAGGCAACGCGATAGATTTCGGAATTCGGCAACACAGTACGTTCCACTAGCAAAGTTTTATGTGGGGACACATGTATGGTAGTAATAAGATATTTCCTGCACACGCAACGCAGTACGTCGTTACACTGTGACTCGGCAACCCGGGCCTGGAACGCCAGGAAGACACGCGAAATCGCCATCGGTGAAGGCAGTCACATCCGCACTTTCAGCAGCTGCACTGGGTAGCAAACGTTACGGACGTTCCAAAACCACATATTTCATCAGAAAAAAAACACGGGGAATGGCTCCATTAAGAATGAATTTATGTCTGTGCAGCATTTCCGGTCTCCCAGTCCGGGATGGAGGCTACGCTGTCGCTAAATCATACCAGTCTGTCAGAACACTGCCAAAAGCATGACGAACGTCTCTGCGCCCGCTCTAGATCAATCTGCTTTGACTAAAGGGGCTACATGACATCTGCTGGTTCGCTGGGGCAGAATAGCTATTCATCTATTCATCCATCCATTATGTAAATCGCCGTGCCAGCAGGATTATCCTCGGGGGTTATACGCGTCACCTGTCACCCCGAAAAAGCAATATCGGAGAGGAATAGACTGAAAATGCTACACCACATACGAGAGAAAATGGCGGGGCTTTTATTCACAATAAGCTTCATAAACGTCACTGTTAAAGTTAGTCTTGGAAATTGGCTCGCCACCACGCCATTTGTCTCAAGTAAGAACGCAAAGCAAAACATTCCGTCCTTTGGCTTTTAAGTTATCGCGTATCACCATAATGGAAAACTGGCCGAAAGCTGTCTGCATTTTTGCTGCAGCTCAACAGGCATCCATAAATGGCATTCAACAGGCATTCATAAATGTGTTATGAAAGCCATTGCGTATCCACGACAAAGCCCACATGACCCTAAACGCCCTTCGCGTGATCCTCGAGGACCCATCCAAAATCCTCTCAGAACATTTTGTTTTCGTGAACATAGACAAAATGAAAAACGCCAAACGTGTACCTAAGCAAGACACCAACAGACTGACGAGTTTCGGAAAATGTCCCGCATTCTCAAAAGCCTTTGGTCGCGCAGGAAAGAACCAGCGCCAGTTGACAACTCGGCCGAAATCTGCCCAAGCGCCGGCACTCGTCGCCCGCGAGCGGTGACAGCCGGTCGCGGGGATTTGGACATCGTGTGGCCGTCTCCACTTGCGTTTTCAACGTTCGTGCACCCTGAGCCTGACATGCAGCCCGATCTCTCAGTGGCTCAAAGCACCAGCTTCATCTCCGCACCGTGGCCGCCGCCTAGTCCAATCCAGGGCTCTTCACCGCCTCCGGCCGACCGCGGCCTGTTGAGATTTCAGCCGCGCCGGGCCCTCACCGTCTCCGGCCGACCGCGGCCTGTTGAGATCTCAGCCGTGCCGGGCCCTCACCGCCTCCGGCCGGCCGCGGCCTGTTGAGATCTCAGCCGCGTCGGGCCCTCACCGGCCGCCGCAGCCAGCCGCGGCCTGTTGAGATCTCAGCCGCGCCGGGCCCTCACTGCCTCCGGCCGGCCGCGGCCTGTTGAGATCTCAGCCGCGCCGGGTCCTCACCGGCCGCCACAGCCGGCCCCTCCGCGCCGGCGATCGGCTCTAACGGAGCAAATCGATCCGGGCGGCGCAGCGAAGCGGCAGCGCGCGCGGCTGGAGGCGGCCGGTACACTCAACGACGGCGGGCGCGTCGGACCCGCCCGGTCCGGTCCGGCCCGGCCCCAGCGGCCAGGTGACATTCTCAGACGGACCGCTCCCCAGACCGGCGCCCGGCCGCCACGGCGCAGCGCTGGCCTGTCGGCAGCACCGGCGCGGGCTGCAGTCGGCTGCAGGTCGGCCGGTTTCATTACGGCCGCTTCCGTGAACCGCCTGGGCCCGGCTCGTCAGCGGCGGTACGCGCCGGCCGGCACCGGACAGATATTGCGGCGCGGCGCCCCAGTCGCCGGCCCGCTGCCCAGCCCAGCCGGCAGCAAACTATGCCACGCTCGTAGCCCCGCTGCCCAGACGGAAAGGGGCGGCGAGCGTGGTGCAGTGGCTCAGTTTGGGCCGGCAGCAATCTAGGCCGCTTGCCGCCCCGCTGCCCAGCCGGGCCGGTAGCAAACTGAGCCGCTGCGCCATGCTCGCCGCCCCGCTGCCCAGCCGGGTCGGTCTCAAACTGAGCCGCTGCGCCATGCTCGCCGCCCCGCTGCCCAGCCGGGCCGACAGCAAACTGAGCCGCTGCGCCATGCTCACCGCCCCGCTGCCCAGCCGGGTCGGTCTCAAACTGAGCCGCTGCGCCACGCTCGCCGCCCGCTGCTCAGCCGGGCCGACAGCAAACTGAGCCGCTGCGCCACGCTCGCCGCCCGCTGCTCAGCCGGGCCGACAGCAAACTGAGCCGCTGCGCCACGCTCGCCGCCCGCTGCTCAGCCGGGCCGACAGCAAACTGAGCCGCTGCGCCATGCTCGCCGCTCCGCTGCCCAGCCGGGTCGGTCGCAAACTGAGCCGCTGCGCCACGTTCGCCACCAGCTGCTCAGCCGGGCCGACAGCAAACTGAGCCGCTGCGCCATGCTCGCCGCCCCGTTGCCCAGCCCGGTAGATCCGGCAGGAAAATGGGTCGCTGCGCCCCGCTGCCCAGCCGGGCAGGGCCGGCAGCAAACTGGGCCACTGCGTCACGCTCGCCGCGCAGTGATAGGTCCACACAAACACATGCAACAGACCAGATAGAGTGATATGGCAGGCTTTGAACGATACGAAATACCCTGCAATTATGAACCACCAGGCTAGTCTGCTGCTTCCCTCCCCATTCAATCTGCCGTGTTATGGGCGCAGGAGCACTGTCCATCACACACTCGCCAACACGATGTTTATCATGATCCCGTGGAACTGATAACCAACAGGAATGGGCGACACCGAATTCACGATCACACTATCGCTACCAGTCCGAAATCAGGCAAGATCTTCAACTTACTCCCCAGCCCAATGATCAGGGATCATTGGGCTTCGGCGCAGTTGGCTGAACCGAAACTTACGCCGAACAAGCCGTACAAGTGAATAATCCCATTCATTAAGGCACTCGGTGTTTTCGCGCGACTCATTTTACACGACGGAATTACGAGTCATGTTCGTTTAATTCGTTGTAGTGTGACACCACTTTAATTTATATTCGTAACAGCGGTGCTCGCACCCGAGACGTAGGGGAACGTCCCGACCTTTCAAAAGCCAACATTAACCCTGAGGTGATGCACAATATATCCATTTCAAAGGTGCTTCGGCCCTTTTCCCCCGACTTCTTACTAAGTTGCTCCACTGTCGTGCTTATGGCATTGTCATTACTACCAAATTGGTAAATGTGTATGAGAACGAGACATTGCAAAATGCAATACTTGCATTAGTTGCACAGCCTTGGCAATGCGCTGATAACGAAACATTCGCATCGGGAAATAGATAACAGCACTTACCAAAACTTCACTCAATCGACAAATCGAGAAGTTCAAAATGTACACAACGGGTCCACTTCAACGGATCCACGCAAAGGAAACGCATGCGATTACAATTGCCCGATCCATTGCACGTGGTCCGACACCTGCAGCTGTCCCAAATCGAGCGCACACCGCAGGCGACACCACAGGCGACACCACAGTACCAACTGTTGTCGCTGGTTTTGCAGGTGATGGCACACGCAATCGGATCTTCGAGTGCCGCTCTGTGCGCAGGCCAACAACGGGACGGTAAATGGCTCATGGTTAAGTACTTATGAACACGTTTCGCCTATTCGCCTATGATCAATCCGTTCAATCAATTACCAATCATGGAGCTGTGTTCTGTCTCACACGCTGAAATTGAACTATTTTTGAACAGATTGTCGCCTTGAGGTAGCTGACCGACGCATAGTTTAGAACTGCACGCATTTGAAGAAACACATAATAAAACCGTGATTGATCTAAATCTAGCCTGAGTCCTAACCCTGCCACGTTCGGAGCACGGGACAGTATTTCCCGGATCAGGGTATTGCTCTAACCACATAGAGATGTCCGCCGAGATCGGGTGGCCCATGATAACTAATTGCCTGTCGGCATATCAAAGTCCTAGCTCCAGTCTCCCGAGACCCTTGCACCGGTGGAATTCTCAAATTGGTTTGGGGAGATCGTAATACTCGACAAACGAGCCCAGTTACGCACGTAGCTTGGTTCTGATACCATTTACCTGAGCCTGCGCCGTTTTGGTACCACAATGGCGGCACGGGTGTGTCATATCCACACATTCCTTCCCAAGTTCCGAAGTCACCGCCAACCGCGACGTTCAATCAGAGGGCTGCGGCGCCCCGCGACGACGCGTCACCGACGGTACGGTAAAACGTGACATCGGGCTGTCAGCCGGCTTCAGTAGCCCGCCCAAAGAAAGCCTGGGCTTCACCACTCAGCCATTGTCTCACACAGCCTCCAGACAATCTGATGAGACGCAAACGACGATCAAAGCTGGGAACATCAAAGAAAGCAGTGGAACAGAAGTTTGCAATCCGCCTGCAACGGACCGAGCCTACTCTTATGTTCGCTGATTATGCATATGTATCTTACAGATCTTCGCAGATTTATTTCATTTGTATGATCAGACAGCTAAAACCCGGTCAAATCCGGCAAGCCAGAAACGTACAGAAAATTACCTGGATCGATCGGCTCTCACATTTCAATTTCACTTGGCATAAACTAGCAGACGTTCTTTGTATGAGCACACCTAATTTTTTACATTGCGCACCTTCAATGGTAATATATCAAAAGCCAGCTCGAGTCCAATTATCCTCATACAAGTGGGCACTTGTAAACTGATCAGGCTAACACAGGGATCGCGCATAACGATAAGATA